AGTAAGGAAGTTATAATGTTAATAAGTAGTGTGTATATGAGGCTTATTTACCCTTTTTCTGATAAGCTCTATAACTGTTTCCACTTGTAACACAAAAACTGCTGAAAGGTTTTATGTCAAAATGGTTATGGATATTTTCAGGTCATATTTCAGCCACCTTTTAACAATCCGAAATTGAGAATAGTATTTAGCTCAGCAAAAGATGGTGAAGTTGATCTCTGAATGCTCCGGATATAAAGGGTATGAGAAAGAATCCCAAATAGGCAAAGAAACAGTCAGTCTAGGTGTCAGGAAGAAAACTGGGAAATTAATATATATATTTCAAACCCAGGAACTATTACTGGAACATTCATACTATAGACCAAAGTAAGCTTACAATTTTTTGATAAATGGTAGATTTTTTGAAGTGTGATTGTGTTGAATTATTGAAATAATTTATTTGCATGAGTGCTTACATTTTCATCTTTATTTGACAGAATCTTTGCCTTTGATTTTATCACTTGTCTCATATGAAGGCCACATTAGGAATAGCAATCTAAAATGCCCAGGAATGAAAGATAATTTCTATAAGCAAAAGTAAAAATTCTTTTCAAGTCATGTTTTCATTAAATGACACTCCCAAGTATGCCTACTGTGCCACATCCCATAGTAGTTGGACTTATGACCTAGTTTCTCATGCCCAGAGTGGTAGCTGAATTGTTGACAGGTATTCCCTCTGTTTTTTTTGTGCATAACTTTTATTTAGCCATTGAAGCACAGTTAATGTGTGGCTGAAAGCACAGTTAATATGTGGCATTCATGTTAAATGGTAGGTAGAGTGATAGACATAAGACAAGATTCCTCTAGTAGCTGACTGTCTAATGATGGTGGAGAAAGAATGAGAGGAATACTAATAGACATAAAGTACTATACCAACTATCAAACTTGATGAGCTAACTTCACAGTCAAGAGGGAAGGGACAGTAGGAAGATTCTCAGCAGAGGTAGTAATATGTAGAAGGGAACTTAGAGGTCACATAGTTTACCCAAAACAGCACTAGAGATGACAGATTGGTGTCTGGAGGCCTGTATATAGCATTCTAATTCATGGTCCGGATCTGTGCTACCCAAGGTTTTAAGTTTGTTAAATAATTTTGAAACTCAGTTCTTCAATCACACTAGGTATTTCAAGTGTTTGAAAGTCATGTGACTAAACAGTTTTTTGTTACAATATAGGTCAAATGCTCTATAGCCATATATAGCCAGTGGCTAGCAAAACTATATGGACATTGCAGATTATAGAGTATCATTGTGATTGGGGTGCCTGGCTGGCTCAGTTGGTAGAACATGCGACTCGATCTCAGGGTTGTAAGTTCAAGTCCCACGTTGGGTATAGAGATTACTTAAAAATCTTAAAAACAAACATACGGTTTCAGAAAGCTATATTGGACAGGTCTGGTCTAGATGTTGCTATCAACCCAAGGGGAGAGGGAAGTGCTTGTTAATAAAATTAGTCCACAGGAAGCATTTTTATAAATCTTTGTTGAAGCAAAAATTATTAGGTGTGAATTTAAAAATAGTGCTAAACAACTATTTTTCCTGTTTGTTTTTTTATAACAAAAGGAAAAACTAGTGAACACTTCACATTGTAGGATCCAAAAACTCTGAAGGTTCATTTATTTCCTGTCAATTAAAAAATACTAGTAAATACACCCTACGGAAGAATTGGATTGTTACTATAGGTGAAAAAGCTATAAAAGTTTCATTTTCAAGTATTTTATTGAGGCACATTTTTTAAAAAGGGGGGGCCCAAGTTCTTGATTAAGGAGGAAATTAGAATTTAATAAAATACAAACACAGAACTGAAGGCTAAAAATACAAGATAACCCTTTTATCTTAATCAGGTCCAAGTCTAAGGAGATAATCCTTGCAAAGAATAAGAACTATATGAGAGCTGATAAGATAGTGGCCAAGCACCAAGCTCTATGACAATACTGTCATATTTCAATTCTTTATTCCCATAAGAAACAGGGCAGCGACACTGTGTATAAATAAAGGCAGGGGCACCTGGCTGGCTCAGTTGATTGAGCCTGTGACTCTTGGTCTCTGGGGGGGGCGGGGGGGGCGTGAGTTCAAGCCCCACGTTGGGCGTAGAGTTTAAAAAAAGAAAAAGGCAAACTGCTTTTACGGGAGAAGTGTTGAGTTGCACTGCCTTGGAATCAATGGTGTAAATAACTGGCCTTGGTTCCCTGATTGACCAGGTCTTGATTTCACATACTAGTGACCAGTAACTGCGCTGGCCTTAGTCTCTGACAGCCTCTCTCCCCCAAGTAGTTCTAACAGGTCCGGCACTCTGGATTTCCCATGTTTCATCTTTCACCACTTATTACTGGTTTTTGCCACCATTTATTTTGTTTTGTTTCTCCATTCCTGCTCCCAAGTTCCAAACGCTTTTGGGAAAATATAAATGCACCTCTGCAGATATTTTGGACCTTCAGTGCTATATAATTGTTTTACTGAACTCCAGCTCCTTTCCACACGCATTCTAGCTTTTATTGTTTTTGAACCTCCAGGGCTGTATAGTAGTTGCGGAAAAAATATTCGCTGAATAAGTGAAAGCCCTTTGATTTCCCCCCCCCCAGCAAGTAAGTCTCAAATTTAACAAAACCTTAACTTTAAAAATGTCATTAGGCATATTCTCCAGTTCTGGCTTTCCAGAATAATGACATGCATCTTAAACCTTTGCTTTCTATAGTTCATGATAACTCCATCCATCCTATCTAGAAAACCTCCCCCACTCCACTGGCTCTGGTTTCTAACTTGCAGTTTCTTGATCCTTGCTCAAGTATTTCCTTATCTTCATTCTTCAGCCTGGACTAAGTGTTAAAGAACACAAAAACTTAACCTTGGATCCTATCTCCTTTCTACTACACTATTGAGATTCCACAAAGAGCTTATAGTTACATGTGCCTTCCACATGCCTCTAGTCTCAAATGTTTGTATCATTCCACTGATGACCATTGATGGCCTAAAGGAGACTCTGTGACCTGGTGAGAGGCGCTACCCTATCTCTTAACACCATGGACATCTGCTGTTTGGTGTCTAGGATATTATTTTTGCCCTGTCCTACTCTATGTCTTTGCTGGCTCTTCCTCAGCAAATCCTAGGTATTTGTATTTTAATTAAAAATTAAAAAAAAAATTTAAGATTTATTTATGGGGTGCCTGGGTGGCTCAATTGGTTAAGCAACTAACTCATTTTGGTTCAGGTCATGATCTCAGGGTTCTGAGATCAATCCCCGCTTTGGACTCTGTGCTCCAATTTCTGCTTGAGATTCTGCTTGAGATTCCCTCAGCTCCTCCTTCCCTCTAAAATAAATAAAATCTTAAAAAAAAAAAAGATTTATTTAAGTAATCTCTACACCTAGCGTGGGGCTCAAACTCATGACCCGGAGATCAAGAGTTGCGTGCTCCACAGATGCCCCAAAGGTGTGTGTATTCTAAGAAGATGAAGAAATAGCAAAAACTGTGAAAAAGTTATGTAGTCCAGTTACTTAAAGTCACTGGTTGCTTTTTTATCACTTTTTTATCACCTGTTTACTTTTTGCAGGAATTGTTTTGACATAGTTGTATTTATACATATGCATAAATCTTAGGTCTTTTTAACTTAAGAATATTAAACACAACCTTCATAAACAATTTTAATGACATTCTGTGAAGTGGATGAACGATCATTTATTGTGGGATGTTTAGCTTTCCAATTTTTGCTATAAATACTTTGGGAACATTTTTGCACAAGTATTTTGTACTGAGATTGTGTCTAAAAATAGTTTACCAGCATTTTAAGACTTTCTACTCCTGTTACCAGATTGCATTAAAAAAGATTGAACCAGTTCACAAATAGATGGGGTTTAGCTATGCTTCTTTCTCAAATGTATTGAACTGTTCTATGTGCTAGGCACTGTTCTCAGCACTTGTAATATGAAGTGAACAAATAGGAAAAAATGTTTACCTTTGTGAAATTTAAGGAGGGAAGGGGAAATGAGAACTTTAAAAAGTATCTTTGGGGCTGTCAACATTTTCATTCCCCAACTTAACTTTTCCCTGTTAATGGACAAAACTACTGATGTTCTTAAATATGAAGTGTGTAAAACCTATTTAAATCTGTTCATGTATCGGGCGGGGAGAGGAGGGGATTAGGGACTGATGCTGCAGGAATATGAAAAGCTATCTTGGGGGAGGAATTTAAAAGAAATAGAAGATATCATTTGGCCAGATGCATGCATCATCGATTTCATTGTCAGTTTTCTATTACCTGTGAATTTGAGCATGTCTCCATTATTCATCTTTGGTTTTACGTTATTGTATTCGTTGTTTACTTTTAGCTTTCAGATGAGCTACTTTTGTTACTGGTACTGTCTTTACCGCAATTTGGACGGAAAGCTGGCAGATGCGGAAATTAAATGATTGCTGAGCAATTTTGTACTCGGGATTTCAAAAATAAGATACATTTTATGCTCTCTGGAAGCTTACCATCTAAGACTCGATCTTAAACTCGGAGCCTAAGAATCCCAGGCTATGTTTGTTTAAAATGCAGTTTCTCAGGTTCCCGCCCCCCACCAGAAGTTTTGATTCATTGGGTAGGGTGTGAAGGGCACAGGTAATTACAATTTAATTAGTCCTCATGACTGTCGTGCAGCTGATTCGCATTGAGAAACATTACAAATAGGTACTAATAGATAAATGTTAGATAAGATGTCCGGGCCCAGTTGACGTAGAAACTTTGGCCCTCAGCTCAAGAGCAGTCTCGAATCCCAGACAATCTCAGACTCACACTAGCTGTCTGGGCGAGTTCATCTAAGTCCCGGGGTCGCCTGGAGCGCAGCGTTTGCCCCTCTGTCCGCGCGCTCCACCGGAAGCTCCCCCCTCATCCCTCTAGGTTCCGCCCCCTATGCCGATGGGTCTCGCTCCTCCCCCGGCCGGCCGCCAACGACGCCAGAACCGGAAATGACGACATCAGCGAAGCCTTTTGGGCGGGGCCTGGGCCGGCAGCTCCAGAGGCCGCAATTTCACATCGGAAACAAAACAGCGGCTGCTCGGGAAGGAGCCTCCCCTGCGAGCGGCCGGTGGCGGCGGCAAGGGAAGAGTAGGTGCGTGATGGGGAGTTCGGGGAGAGGGGAAGGCGCCCCTCCCCCGGTGCGGACACGGGCGGTCGCGGGCAGGGCCCGGCTCTTTGTCGCCGCCCGGGCCGCGCAGCCGGTGTCCTCGAGGATGAGGAGCGGGGCGCGGCCGAGCAGAGACCGAGGAACCCCGTGTGGGGAACGAGGAGGGGCGGCCCGTTTCTCCGGCTCCAGGCGCAGCGCGCGGTCAGGTTAAAGAGCGATTACCCTCCGGAGCCTAGGTCCGGAAGTGCTGGTTTCCCGAAGACGTTTCAGGACGCAGGTGCCGTGGGCCGGGATTGACCGTCTTGACTGGAGTGGAGCAGGAGAAAGAGGAAGCGCCTTGCCCTGTGTCTGGTTGAGCAACTGGTGAAACAACGCGCCTCATGCCCTGAGTGTGTCCTTGTCCGGGGAAGTGAGTGGCACTCAGGGCTAAGTTCCTTATGTCTCACATTCGAGGCGGAAAACAGGGTCTGATGCTTTTGCCTTGGTTGGGACTGTCGCGAGGCATAATGTTAAGTGCTTTGCATGTGTCTTAGATATTTGCGTTTTCTTCCCGCTCAGGTTCTTTTCAAATAAATAATCTGCTTCTATTGTAGGAGACTAATTTAATAATAATTTTAAAAACATTGCTTGGCTGCTTTGGACAAGATGAATATAGTATTCAGGGTTTACTCCGGGAGATAAGAATAGGATGCAAAAAACTTTGGCATATATAATGACTGTATGACAGAGCACATTGTAAAGCTCGTACATTCTCTGAAGTTTGAGGCAGGTAGAGATCACATCTGGTTAGGGAATCTTGTTATTTGAGTTACTATTTTTTTTTTTAAGATTTTATTTATTTGACAGAGACACAGCGAGAGAGGGAACACAAGCAGGGGGAGTGGGAGAGGGAGAAGCAGGCTTCCCTCTGAGCAGGGAGCTCGATGCGGGGCTTGATCCCAGGACCCTGGGATCATGACCTGAGCCGAAGGCAGACACTTAAAGACTGAGCCACCCAGGCGCCCTTGAGTTATCTTTTACAGTGGAAAGGTTTTCACCCCTGGCGTTGAAGTGGGTAGGGCATCATAATCAGAAGGTGTATTAGAAACAGGGGCCCTCTGGATCGCAAGCGACCAGTGACCCACTCTGAACATTAAAATAACTTATGAAGGAAAATAAAACAGGAAAGTAGATTGGAGTTAGTTGCATTTGACTAATTTCAGTCACCTGCAAAAGCCTATTTCAGTTCTCCTTAATTCATTTGCAGAGTTCAACCAACTTAAAGTTCCCCCCACTGCCATCTAATAAACCCTTAACAATGAGAAAAGGATCATATTTATTGAGTGCATGGATTTCTTCCTGCCCCCTCCCCCCCAGTAGATAGTAGAAGTGGCATCTATCATCTGGTTTTCCATTCTTTTACTCCTGGTCCTTGGGTAGACAGTTCCCACAGTTCTGGGTATACTTTCTTCTGAATGGATATGATTTACTGCTGAATTTTAAGTTAATGGCTGCAACTAGTCCTAGACTGCTGCATGAATTTCCATTTAGGGGGAACCAGAGGATTGAAGTTGATCTCCCAGAATCACCCTAGCAGGAAAATAACAGCATTTGTCTATTACCGTAGTTTATGTGTGGTCCTCTTTCTCTCTCAGATCCAGGCTGTCTCTGCTCCTCCTTTCCCACTAATATTGCAGATTATAGGGGAGAATTTTTTACGATATATTCTGAAAAACCTGTCAAAGAACTCTAATACTGCCTCTTCTTCATGTGATAGATGTTAGGCATATTTGGAAGGTGTGTTAAGAGTGGCACTGTTATGGTCAGAATTTTAGGCACATTAGTCTGATAGTGGGGGCTAGAATGGATGAGAGAATTGAGGTGACTTTTGCATAATTCAGGTGAGATATGATGAGAGTTTGATCTTTGGTGATGACAGAGGCTTAGAAAAAAACTTTTGAGGTGCCTGGGTGGCTCAGTTGGTTAAGCGTCTGCCTTCAGTTCAGGTGATGATCCCAGAGTCCTGGGATTGAGCCCTGCGATTGGCTTCCTGCTTAGTGGGGAGTCTGCTTGTCTGTCTTCCTAAGGCTCCCCCTCCCCCGCTTGTGCTCGTTCTCTCTCCCAAATAAATAAATAAAATCTTAAAAAAAAGGTAAAGAAAGAAAAACCGTGAACAGTACATGGCAGCTAATTGAAAAGCAGGGAATAAAATGTAGAGTTGGCTAGAAGGCTTAAAGTTTGAAGAATGGGAGAGACGATTGCAGAAATAAGGAAGTTAGAAGCAAAGAACTAGAGAGGAAGATGAGGAAGTGGTTTGGAAGTTATCACTTTTGAAGTGCCAGCAGGTGAAGATATCTCATGGACAGACCTGGAACTGTAATTTAAGAACTGTAATGTAAGTCATTTAAATAGACTTACTAGTTGATGTTGGAGCAGTGGAGGAGATGCCTAAGGAGAGCAAGGGGACAGAGAGGCCCAGGCAGGCCACTTATAATGAAGAAGTGGAAGAAGGGTGAGAGGGACCAGCTAAGAAGAATGAGTGATGGGAGGAGAACGTCCATAGTGCAGTGTCACAAAGGCTAAGGAAGGAAGGGAAGCTTTGGGAAGGAAAAGGCTGTCAGGGATTTTTACTATCTGGGCTGGTATAGCTGAAAGAGCTGAAGATTTAGAGCAGCACTGTCTGTTAGAAATTGTGTGAGTGGGATGCCTGGGTGGCTCAGTCGGTTAAGCATCTGCCTTGGGCCCAGGTCATGATCTTAGGGTCCTGGGATCAAGTCCCAAGTCCAGCTCCTTGCTCAGCGGGGAGCCTGCCTGCCACTCCCTCTGCTTGTGCACCCGCACTTGCTTTCTCTCTCTCACAAATAAATAAAATCTAAAAAAAAAACAAAACAACTGTGTGAGCTACAAGTGTTAATTTAAAACTTTCTAATAAACAAGTTTTATAAAGGAGGAGATAGATAAAATTAATTTGAATAATATAATTTATGTAACCCAATACATCTAAAATATTTTTTTAACGATTTATTTATTTATTTGAGAGAGCTAGAGTGAAAGCACATGGGCAAGGGGAGGAGCAGAGGGAGAAGGATATGCAGACTCCTCACCAAGTGTGGAGCCCAGTTGCAGGGCACAATCCCACGATCCCGAGATCATGACAGCTGAAATCGGAGTCCAGAGCTCAACTGACTGAGCCACCCAGGCTCCCTACATCTAAAATATATTTTTTTACATTTTTTTAAAAAGTTTTTATTTGAGAGAGAGAGAGAGCACACAGAGGGAGAGTGAGAGGGAGAAGCAGACTCCCCACTGAGCAGGCAGCCCTGTGCAGGGCTTGATCCCAGGACCCCGGGATCATGATCTGAGCCAAAGGCAGATGCTTAACTGACTGAGCCACCCAGGCGCCCCATCTAAAATATTTTTATTTCAACATGTAATTAATATAAATATATACTTGTCTGACTCCTCTTCTAGATAGTAAGCTTCTTAAGTAAACAGAAGTATTATCTGCTAATAGCATCCCCACCACCTATCACAATGTCTGGTTTTGTAGAAGAAACCCAGTAAGTGTTGATTGATTAAAGGGCATTAATGTTTGGTTTTCATAATGCCTTGAACAGTTCCTTAAATTGATCTAAACCAAAAGGGAGAATGCAAGCATTGCTGAGTATAACCAGTGATTTATTAATTAGATGTGAGTAGTCATGTTTTCATTAAAGATGTATTCAATCCATTTCCACAGCAAATTTGAAACAAACTGGGAGTGATCATACCTTTCATGTAGACTTATGAAAGTAAAGGTTTCTTGGGGAAAGATTCTTTATAATTACTACAAATATTGATAATACAGGACCATAGTCCCATATCTATAATTATGAAATCCAAAAGCCCCTGAAAAAACCAAAAGGCATTTTATAATTCATTTGACAGAAAAATCTAACCCGAACCTATTAATGTAATTTAAGACTATATGTTTCACTATATACTTATTAATGTGTTTGATTTTGTGGTTCTATCTATGACCTTGAGAGGGCATTTTAAAACATACAGTATTTGCATCATATTACCTTTATAAAATCTGAGAAAAATATGAATTCTAAACACACTTAGTCCTAAGGGTTTCAGATAAGGGATTCTGGATTTGTAAGTCTTCATTTTCATTGCATCTTCTGAGCCCATGTAACCATTACTGTTTAAAAACAATTACAGTAACTTCACGTAACAGACCTCCCCCAAACCCAGCCTTAGAGTGTTTGTTCTGACTCAAGGCTTTGCTTCAAGGTGTAGGACTATGGATCAGCTAGGGCAGTTCTGTTTTGCATGTTTTATTCTGGGGCCCAGGCTGAAGGGCCAGTGACTACCCATGGTAAGCTCTTCTCAAGGCGACAGGAGAAGTAAAAGAAGGTAAGTCCAACTGCAGAAGCACAGTTCAGGTGTCTGCTTGTGCTAATCTGCTAAGATCCCTTTGATCAAAGCAAGTCAGATGATTGTGCCAAAAGGCATGGGGTGGCTAGTAGACTGCACCCACCTTGAAGCCAAAGCAAGTCTCAGAGCCAAGCCCAACATCACTGGAGTAGAGTATATTTCTCTCTCAGGGATGCCTGGGGAAGGAGTGCATATTTGCTGAATAATAATCTAATCTACCACAGATGGCTCACAGAAGTAGAGTGGGATGGAAGGAAGAAAAAAATCACCAAATAGATGTATCACTATCCTTGCTCTTTTTAGAGTCTACCACCTTCACAAAGCCTCTTGTAGGACTGGGGAAATTATTTGCTCCCTAGTCTCTTAAAATTCAGAGTCTTTCCACCATGTATTCCTGAAGTTTTAAGTTAATTTCATATTATTTTTATTTAATTATAAATGCAGTTTGGAGATTGGTTACATTTATTATTGGATGTGAGCTTTTGAAAACTCAAATAGAGGCTCTCCAAGCCCATCCAGACAGTCAGAACTTAGGCTGCCTGTCCAGGAAGAAGCTGTCAAAGTAACAGTAAGGCTGATTAAAT